AGAACCAGCTTATTGTTGGTACCTGCGTGAAAGGCTGAACCCTGCTGAATTGCTTTTAAAAGGTACATCCATAATCCATAGATGATTCAGACATCAGCAGAAGCTGAGCAGGACAGCGCAAATGCCTATCAGAAGTAACAGAACAGTGAGGAAGCAGATGACTTCAAAACATTAAAGCAAATTACTAGGGTTCAACTTCCTTTTAGTGAAAAACCTTTTTTCCATTTGGTAATAGAATCACAGATTTTAGAGACTAAGAAACTAACATGTTGTAGCACCCTGCCTCTCACCCAATCCTAACATGAAAGGTTAAGTTATGCATTTTTGTATTTTATGACTAAAAAGACTCAAAAGTAATAAATTTTCAAAGGCAATATGAGTTATTTCTGAAATTCCCACTAGTAAGCTATCCTTTTATCATTCCATGTTTGACATCATAGTATCACATGAAGAACATGACGAATCAGTTGTTTTACTCAGAATCTGTATTAATAGAAGAGAATGACTGCTATCAAACGTTGGTGGTTATTATTCAAAGAACTCAGTCCTGCTCCAGTCAGAATCTGGAAAAGGCATTGTAAAGATATAAGCTCATGAAAATAATGTGAAGCCAAGATATCTGGGAAAATGCATTTCTTTGGAAAAATACAAGGAGGGTGGGGTACACAGAAAAAAGATTCCCAAGAGAGATAACAAGATCATAGGTTCTTTTGCAGGCTTTTTTTTCCTCCAGCCAGCTACAACCCCCGCCTCCCCCCCCCCCCCAGGATTTCCATGCACATAGGCAGGTTCATCACTGTCCCATTATAACTAGGTTTTTGACACAGAAAAGTTATGCTTGAAAACTATATGCCAAAACAGTTTCAAGATAATCTTTCTGTATGGAATTCCTATAAAACCCTGGTAAAAAACATCCCCTCAGACCCTCCCCTCACAAAAGACGGCATTTCCATTTTGAGCCTGTTTCTCTGTTTCTCCATGCATTTAAGTAGTAAAATAAAACTACTAATGACTGCTACTAAATAAAAATTCCTAAAGATATTTGTTAAATCTTATATTACACTACAGCTTTGCATTACTTTTTGCATCATATTAGAACACCTTAAAAAGTACAGCATTACTTAAAACAGGTGCAAATCCACTGAACTTTGAACCATTTAAACCAAAATTCACATAGTTCCCATCTCTGAATACACAAGCTTGATGCTAAAACAGGACTTAGATGAAGCAAGAAGGCCTCAAAAATCAGAGGGGAAGACTGACGGGATTTGCACAGCAATAAGCCATGAGATCACCTGTAGAAGATGCATGTTACTTTTGGGGATTGTTTAATACAATATTCATTGACTCTAGCAGAACAGTAGGCCTATTATGGAAATCAAAAGCATGTAAGCAATTCTATAATGAAATTTCCTATATAATGTATATGACAATGCCCTAGAATAGATTGAGTTTTAACAATGCAACTACAAAGAAATTACAAAGTACACTACTGGTAAAAAGTACAACAAACTTGATGTTTTAATTGAAAAGAAGCTGGAATCAATGAGAAGAAAAAATTCCAGTTTCAACATCCAGCTACAGATGGATCTCACTACATGAAGCATTTAAGCATATGCATTCTAAATATGCATCGGAAAGAGCTATTAAATTAGGTGCCAAAAAAAGTTATCGAATCAACAGTTACCTAATAATCAAGATGGCCAGTTGCAATAGGAGATCATTTTTTCTAAAAAGTTTGTTGGGTTTTTTTTTTCCAATTCGTAAGTTAACAAGAAAGGAATCCTCCCCTCCAGGTGCACTAAAGAAAACTATGTGCTGCTATTTAATTGTGGCTACACAGAGAGTTAAACCTCTGTCAAAAGTTAACTTTTTAATATAACAGGAACACCCATTATATGCATAAGCTTAAGCCTTTCAAGAGTTAGTAGTGTATTTAGTACCTCAGTTAATTTCAAAACAAAAATGTAGTCTCTCAGTGCAAATACTAATTGCAGGACAAGGCTGAAGTTGGCACAACAGCCATACAAATATAATGTTAACATTTGCCTACACTAGACCATATAACCTGCCCTTTTCTGAGGTACTCCCTGAGTCTTACGTATTTAGAAGGAGAAGGAAAATGTCAACTACTGGTTCATGGAATACAGTATCAGAGCTCTGGAAACACTCTGGAAAGCAGCACTCTTCAGAATGAACCATGTTAAAATAGTATACAAACTTCTCTTGGGATCACTCAAATTAAAATGCAAAATGTTTGTATACTAAATTAATTGTATTTGTTCTACACTCAACTTATGTAGAATCTCATCAGGTTCTGATGTTACTGCATTTTTACAGTAACTTCTTACATACTAAATTATGCACAAATATGTATTTTGTAACTTCTGTAATACAGGAGTTTAATTCCATCTGAAAAAAAAACATGCACTGTAGTCCCATATTATATATTATATGAGATACTAAATAAATGTAACTTTCAAAGATTATAGTATTTTCTAACTGTGTTAAGTCAGCTTCACTGTCTCTTCTCTAAACATAGTCAGGAAGGACATGTTCCAAAACTCATTTCCACTGAAGCTCTGCAGCACAGCCCGGATTTTTCACTCGCAAAAAGAACTGACCCTCCAAAGTGATATGTAAATGAAAAATCCTAGATCACCTAACGAGATAAAGCATGTAAATAATGCCTGCTGCTCTTCGGAGCTCATAGGTTATTATATATTCAAAGATCAAATCGTAAGAGTTCATCACTGTAATTGACTACTTACTCCACTGTTCAATTACATTTTTCATTGACAATTTAAAAGAATTAAAGAAAAAAATAAAGCCTTGCACAAGTATTTTACACTCCACTGATTTTAAAGCTGAGTAGGAGTAGCTAGTGTGCTTTAACAAGTCAGAAGTTCTCTACTTTAAGAAATACACAATAGTGCTACTTGCCATAACAAGTACACTATCCTTGCAGCATCTACACCAGTCTTCACAGCATACATTCAGGATTTCTATTTAGTTTAGAAAAAAACAGACATTTTCCTAGTTGTCCTAACACAGGAACTAAGGCAGTATTTCTGTGAAAGGTATGGTCAAGAAACTAAGGGATCTGAAACGAACAAAAGGAGAAATATTTCTTAGTACACCAAATCAGACCATATTTTCCTAAAGCTAAAATACACTATGCACACAGCATTTTAATTCAATAAGCACTGTGTCAAACATTTGACTAAAAAGTTTAAAAATCAGGAAAACTTGCAAGTTAAGTAGTCATTACTTAAGATAGAAATAGTTCTGCTCCTTGAAGAGTAAGAGAATTGCAAAACATGTAGATACAGTGTCTAAATCTAGCGAGAACTCACAAGTATTCTTCACGAAAATAATGGGATTACTCCAGAATCAATTCCTAAATGATTTCTCAAGAACGACAATTTTCTACAGCAGTCTTTGACAACTTCTGAAGAAAGTTGTATTTGTTTATTATTTGATCAGGAACAAAAACCAGTCAATTTCCAGTGCTAGTCCAGGCCAACAAAGTATCCAAGTAGTATCCTAAACCTGTCATTACTATTTGCATACACCGTCTTATAGCACCAGTCTGCAATAGTAAAGTTTTATAACTTACACTTTTACTACTTAAAACAAGCTCAAACTTCCTGTTCTATGGAGAATGCTTTTTAGCAAAGAGAAAGTCAAAGTACAACTGAAAAACAAACTGATTTGCTCTGGAAAGAAAAATGCACCATTAAGGTTTTAGCCATATACACACATTTTCTGTGTATTCTATCGTCACATATTCTGTGGGCATGAATACAGGAATTTATTGAATTTAATACAAATTCATATAAGATGCTAGATTTGTATCCATATACTCACTAAACCTGAGATTAATCCAGAAAAACATGCACTTATTACCAAAATAGTCTCAAGAAGCCAGAAGCTGCTTTATGTAAATACAATGCTCTAAATCACCTACAGTTGATGCATGAAAAGCACAATTAACGTTATATTCTACTTCTGGACAAACAAAACCTTCACATATCGACCTCTTGTCCCAGGTAAAGAGACAAACTTTGGGTTTAGAGTCCCAGTTAGCATCAGTTCGGTTTCTTACGAGCTAATGAGCTTGTAGCAACACCTGTTCCCTGTCCACAGAGAAATACTTGCTACCCTTCAGCCTACAAAAAGCAGCACACCCTGTCAATGTGGCTGATACTCTTCAGGATTAAAGTGATTCTTTTCCTTGAACATCTCATGTTGCAGCACAAGAAGCTGGAAGTTACTTCTCTGTTCTATCTGAAGGAAAGTTCTGACCGGCCAACAAGAGAGCTACGAAATGACTTAAAGACAAGCAGTAGCCAAGGAGTTACAGAACAGGAGGGCAAGCCGAGACTAGCAATGCTCATGGCAATTCCTAGTTTTCGCTTTATGGTCTTCAAAGCACGAGGGCCGTTTTCACACCCCGGGAAGCTGTCAGTGCTCAACTCACAGAGCTTTAAGGGCACGAGCTGTTCACACTTATCTCTCTTTCAGAACCTTTCAAAATACATAGAAGTTACTTTACTACATGAAGACGGGGGAGGGGAGGATGTGAGGTGTGCGCGAGATATAAACTGTTCATATAAATTCACTTGAGTGTCTTGCTTTGCCCATTTATACAGCCACCTTCATTATCTGAAGATATCCAATTAGCAGCCAACGTCCCAGAACAAGTCCCCACGGCCACTTCCAGCCCCCAACGCCGAAGCTGGGCTCCTGCCCGCTCCCCGCTGTCCCCGTCGGGGCGGGCGCGGCCGGTCCCGCCGGCCAGGGTAGGGCCCCGCGCCGCCCCCGCTCCCCCGGGAAACGCACCCAGCCCCGCCGCAGGCCAGGCGAGGCGAGGCGAGGCAAGGCAAAGCGGCGGGGAAAGTGCGAGGCGCTGCGCAGCGGCGGCCGGCAGGGGAGCCCGCCCGCTCCCGGCGCCCATTCAAACAAAAGAAGCCCCTTCTGCCCGCCGCCGGACTCACTTCGCAGAGCTCCGATGAGGAGACTGCCATCCTTAATCAGCTCCTTGATGAACTTGTTCGTCCTCTCCAGCTCGATCTCGTGACACTTCAGGCGCTCCCTGAAATCCGGGCTGTCCAAGTAGGAGTCACTGAATTCCAACGTGGGCAACCCCATGGCAGCGGCCGCAGCCCCCCGGCCGGCGGTGAAGGGGCGGGCGGCTGAGGGAGGGCCGCGCCGAGGGACGGCGCCGGGGACAGAGGGGAGAGTGGGGAAGCGCAGAGACGAGGCGCAGCTACCGCTCCCCACTCCGCCTCCCAGAAGAGGCTCCGGACCCGCTGCACCAGCTCCTCAGCACCCGAGGCAGACTGCCCGCGGATGCGTAGCGCTCCAGTCGCTGTCACCCAGCTACATGCTGTCCGCGGGCTCCCAGCGCCTCCGCCGCTTCCGGCAGCGTTCCCTCTTCCTCTGTCTCTAGCCCTAGCTTCAGTGTGAACCTCCCCCGGCCAGTCCGAGCAAGCCCTCCTCCCGGCCCGACATACTCGCACGCCGGGGCCGCGTCCTCGGCAGTGCCCGCCCCTCGTTCGCCACCGCCCCCATCCGCACTCTGCCTTCTAGCGGCTGCGCGGCTGTGTGGCTGTGTGCGTTGCGGCCTCGCCGGGTTTAGGGTGACGCCAGGGCTTTGCAGATCCCTGTCGGGGCTAGCGCTCACCTCCTCCGTTGCATGGGGCTTTCCGAGACCCAGAGGAAGGCAAGGGAAGGAAGTTCCACCTCAGGGGTGTCGTAGACCGGTGCTTGGAAGTGGTTTATGCCAGAGGCCGATGTGGAGGAGAGCAGCCCGCCTTTGCCTTGTGTCTCCTGCCACAGCTGGAGGAGCAGCGGGTGGTGGGGTGGGGGGAACCAGCCGGAGCGTGCCTGCGCCGCCAGGGGATCCTCCGGGACACCCCGGCACGGCTGCGGTCGCCGCCCGGTGTGTGCAGGTTAGGGATCTCCTAATGGGATAGCCAGAACAGAAAGCACTGAAGTATAAAGGATGAGGAGAGAGGAAGGTGGAAGCCAAGGAAGTACAAAATACAGGGACATCAATGTTCTGCTGTGGCACCTGGTTGCTGTGAGGGCCAAATCCATCCTAATGAGGAGCGTCAAGAAACGGCAAGCCCGGTTACTACAGCCAAGATGTGTGTTTCCAAGTACGTGAGTGGGCTTGTCTCAGTAAACAGAAGCACTTGGGATGATGACTCTGTGTTTATCTGGTGTGGTTTTTTCCAGACACAGAGTGTCAGTGCACAAGTATGTATACAAATGTACTACTGGGTTTGAGGAAAGCTGTCTGTAAACACACCTTCAAGTCAGCAATCACAGCGTTGGAAACAACCATCAAGGCTGGTCATAAAAATAATTGTGCTTCAGGATCGCCCACTTCTTGCCAAAAATTGCTTTCAAGATGGTGTTGATGTTTCTCTGTGCACTGTGTACATGCTACTGCCAAATCGTTCATGGCCTCCATATTTACACAGTTTAATGTACAAGTGGGGAAAGGCTCAAAGCTGCTGCATGCATTGTGTTCCTTGACTCTGTTTGTGCTCTTAACAATTCTTAAACCGTTCATCAAAACTTGCTGCTTTGTATTCATAGTAGAGTTTTGTGAGTGTCTGAAAAGTAGAGAAGAGGCTGCAGTTTCCAACCATATGGCCTGCAGAATTTGTTGAAGTGGAAAAATAGTAATTCTCTGGTTTTACAAGGCTGACACTTCCTGCCCACAGAATGTCAGAGCTAGCTGTCAATGTTGATATTAATAGATCCATTGAAGAGTCTTTTAATTTACAGAACTCTGCTCATCAACATGTTGCCTGAGACAAATTATTTTTCCAATAATAGAAAAAATAAGACTGGAAAGGGCTGCTGCATTAACAAGTTTATTTCCTTGCTTTTTCAGGCAGTAGCATGTAATCTCACTCATAAGCTAATAAACCTCATTTAAAAGCCAGTTGAACTACTGAAGGATGTTCCAAATAGAATTTTTATGATTATTAAAAATGTAATTTTCAGCCTACATATATTCACAAGTTAATTTTAGGCACACTTGTTCTTCCTTTAGTGTCATCTGTAGCTGAAAATATTCTCTGTCTTTATCATGTTTTTTCTTTGATGTGGTTCTAGAATGCAATAATGACATCTCTGGCCCTTCTGTATGACAGCTTCATAAATGAAAGCTTTTTGTCATAAAATAAATCATTAATTTCCTTCCTCGTTCTCATAGTTCTTGTCTAGATCTCTCTGAGTTCGATTTTATCTTTCTTGATTGTGGTTTACTGAAATTACATGCAAGACCTTATTCAGCCATGCTACCACCTGCCACTTAACACCTTTGTGAGGTTGTATTTGTCTGTTTCATGGCAAAATTATTTGTGTGGCTTCACTGAGGCACTCAGATCTTTCTTTTCGTTTGTTTTCAACCATCAGATTCCAAAGTTAGAGCAGAAATATTTGTTGGACCCAAAACCATGTACTTAGCATTTTAGTTCAGAACAATTATTCTGGTAATAACCAGGATGACTCATTTCATAAACTATAATGTTCTCATCTTCAGAAGTTCCATAACCACATCACTGCTTTTGGTATCAGGATTGTGAATGGAAAATTAATGAAACCAATAGTAGTAGTATACTGAGCCACATTTACTAAGAACTTACCTCCAGCCTGACATCCTCTCTACAAATAACTCAGCATTATACATTAACTAGTTCTGTATGTTTTTCAGAATAATCCGGTCTTTTTTAAATGAACTGAGAATTGCCCAGCATACAGTGTATCAAATATTTAAAAATCTGACTAGTTCACATGTACCACCATTCCCTTCTCTCAGAAAAAGCTTTCATTTTTAAGGAAATAGATCTGTTAACAATGATCTTTGTTTCATAAAGCAATATGTGAGCAGATGTACACCCAACCCTACATTATCTTCCACTGTTGAAGAAAAGGTTTAGAGTTAACCTGTGAGCTTATTGCTGCATCTGGAGGAGGGTCTGGTAAATAAATGATTTGGCACACCCACAGAGAGGTTAACTAACAACCAAATCTACATGAAAAGATAAGTTTTAGTATGTGTTTTGTGTTTCTTGAAAACCAACAATATGCTGGAAGAGGGTGAACTATACTGGATGGCAACTCATTCAGACACCTAGGTAGGTGAAAGGCTCTAATAGAAGAGTTAGCCTGATGTTACCACTGGCTGTGAAGAGATGAATGAAAAGTTAGATGCTCTTTTTTTTTTTCTAAACCCTGGGGAACTTTGTCCTATTTCATCCATCTTTATGTTTATTGTTCTAAACTTACCCTAAAATCTTACATGTTAATGAGGTCAATTATAGATTTCTCCTTCATCTTAAATCAGTAAACACTGAACTATAATTTCCAATCAATAGCCCATGTCTGACTCTGAAGGGTGCCTGGGGAATATTCTTATCACAGTCCTGCTAGCCAGATTGCCTGGGAAGAGGAAAGGAGAGGTGTGTAATGGTCCTACTTACTGCAGTGCATGTCCCCTACTCTTACAATGGAAAAATGGCTACACATGCAGTTCTTCAATGTTATGGCTCTACCTCGCTCCTTTAGATGCTGTTAATTTAGCAGTTCAACAGAGACAACGATCCTGAGTGTCTTTTACCCAGAGGGAAATATTTTACAGTGAGACTCTGCCAACTTCCTTGTTGTTTCTTCTGCTTCAATGTTTACAATTATGGGAAAATTGCTTCTAGAGCTATGTGGCATTTTTGAAAAATGATTCTTTCCCTTGAGAGAGTGGGATTATAGGCAAAAAGAATGCAAGGACACTGATGCTTACACCCACTTGAACTGCTCAAGGGTACAAGATTAGCTCTGTACCTGTATCGCACAGAATATATTAAAAGTGTAGAAAACCCCACTCAAACAATTATTTACAGAGTATTTTAATTTGTTTTAGCTTCCCCAAAGATCTTGGTTTATCTCAGTTTCCCACAGGTTTCTTGCTGGGAATTTGCAAGATTCCTGGTGACTTGCTAGGGTAAATGCTATTAGAAGTTTTCAGATTTTCCTTGTTAAATTAAGATTCTAGATGCTAAGTTTAAATTGGCTAGCAGTGGTAAATTAAATAATAATAGTAAAAAAGAAAATAAATAGAAATGAACCGAGGAAGTAAGTCTAAGTTCCATAATTCCTTGTATGTATAAACTGAAAGTGATACTGCTCTCTGTTTGAATACAATCTCCATTTTGTAAACTGATTGTTAAATGATGTAACTGCCAGTGGGTTCTGTTTGTTTTGTTGTTTGGGGTTTTTTTTACAGCAAGTTAACATTGTCAGAGGAGGAAAGTAGCTAGCCAAAATCATAGTTTAGAAGCCAAACCATGTAATTTAGTATATAATTTAGCATGTGAGGATCACATTACCCTAAGATACTGCTCTCTGTGCACAAAGGTCTACTCACGTGTGCATTCCTATCAATGTTTCTGATTGTAGTCAATTATAGATCAATAATATTTTTTAAAAATATGTTAGTCTTTTTAATACATGAGCAAGCTCTAAGTGGTTTGGAGAAGCTTCAAACAGCAAGTTCAAAGCTGAAATTAAAAATCATGTTTAGTGACTCTCATGCTGTGTTTGCTTCAGCCTCCTGGGTACTTCTTTGTTGAATCTGAATATTCTGTAACTGGCTCTGGTTCTACCTTCTGGTATGCTCAAAAATTTACCTAAGGAAATAGGTGCCTAAAACCACATTATAACGTTATGCTTAGACAAGCAGCTCTCAAATCACAGATGGGATTGATACAGTACAAGTAACTGAAGATGAAGGCTACTCAGTATTCTACAGGAAGCAGTAGATGCGGCAGCTTAAAAATCACAGCAAGATGACAACTGCCAGTTTCATTTATATATCTTAGTAGCTAAAACATTTGCCTATGGAGTGGGACAGCTGGATGTTAGGTACCTGCAGACCGAATTCACACTGTCCACCTCCAGAAGGGTGAAACTTCAGGCAACACCTTGCCTCACATTTCTTCTTGACAGCATTAGGGAGTTCCACTCAGCATGAGAAGTCTTATGAACAATCTCCATGACTGTTTACTACAGAGAAGTATTTTCATGCTTTAGTTCTCACTCTGGAAGCAACGCATCTGGGAGGTAGTTGTAACATCTTAACTGAAATTTGATTCACGTGTTCTTTGCTTGAATTCTGTTAGAGCCTCTTGACTCTATTATCCTGTAAGTAACTTAGATACTTTTATTTGCTGTAGTTTATTGGACATAAGTAAGTAAACAGTGGCAGTCTAAAAATCATCATCAAGGTGAAAAGCAAGAAACTCAGTTTTAACATTGGTATCCAAAATTATTCTTTCACATCCAGAATCCATGAGTGGATGCCATCCTTACTAACTTTATCACTTGTGTCACTTAAAACATGAAAGAAGAAACAGGCTATAGACAGATGTAAGAAAAGTTTGATCCTGTCCTTATTCAATTAGCTGCAGGTTTGCACCAGATACAGACTGGGTGATTACATGCTGCTAGATAAGCTAAAAGTT